AGAGAGACAGACACACACACACAGAGAGACACACAGAGACAGACAGAGAGACACACACACACACACGCGCGCGCGCGCGCATGTGAGTGTGTGCGTGTGTGTAACGACACGTGGCTATCATCCATGTGCCTGTCAAGCTCGGCGAGACATTCAGGTCGTGGCTGAGCCCGTTGCACCAGTCATAGAGTTGGAAGCTCGGGGGTTGCTGTTCAATGCGAAGCTATGCATGTAGCGAGGTCCCGTCCATGAGCTCAGAACAGGAAGCACAACTCAAGGATGCCGGTAACGCAGATGAGAAACTGCCACCGTCTGGTCAGGTTTGCCAAGCGACCATCGGTCGGAACCTGGCTCGCGCCAAACCCCAACACCCTGTCTCAGGTGGCTCGCAGCAGCCGTCCCTGCCATTACATGTCTTTGCCCACGTGCTTTCTGCAAATGCTGCACGCTTCGTCTGTCCCTCAGATGGCTGCAGCAGCAACCCCTGCGACACCATCTGCTTCGGCTTCGGCCTGAGAGCAGCTTCCGCGGTGCGGAGTCATGGACATGAAGGGGCTATGCTGCAATCGCATTGGAAGAGGCTCCGAAGCAGTCTGCCAATGCAGAGAAGTTGGAGGCTCCGGTGGCAGCCAGCACAGCTCCGGAGCCTCGGCTAAGAGATCTGCCGAACTTCAAACATGCGGCTTCTTTACATTTCTTTACCATATGGGATCTCAGGCAAAGAAGGTGCCATTCAAGCTGCTGCCATCAGTGACTTCCTCGGCTCTGCCAAGCTTTGCCATTGCTCGTCCCATTACTCTTGCTATTCGTGCTACCATTGGTATTTGTTTTAATTACCATTAGTTATATTAGTTGTAGCATTCGTATTTCTGCTATTCTTATTCCTATCAGAAGCCACTTTGCTCCTGACTTAGGTCGGAACTTGGCTGAGCTTCAAGCCGTTCGTTGAGCCAGCGAAGCCAAGCATCCTGGTGGCGTCCCTACTGTGCTTCTGCTCTTAATGCCAAGCCTGGTATTCGTGCCATTTATTAAGTATTCCTTGCCTGCTTACCATGATTGTAATTGTTGATGCTGGTGTGTACTGTGGTTGTGGTGGTGTGGGCGGGTGAGGGTGGGGGGTTGTGTGGTGGTGGTTGTGGTGGTGGTGGTCGTGATTGTGGTTGTGGTCGTGGTGGTTGTGGTGCTTGTTGATGTTGGCGGTGGTGGAGGTGGTGGCGGTGACGGGGGTGGGTGTGGGGGCAATTAGCAGTGGTGGTGGTGGTGGTAGTGG